ATATCAGTGCCATCTACTCTACTCCCACCCACTCCTTATAGGTAGCCATGAGTTTCTGGCTTATCCTTCTGGCTTTTCTTTTTGTAAAAATAAGCAAATAAGCTAGCAGAGTATTATAATAGATTGAGACAGCATAAAGTTAGTCAGAATCATCATACTATTAAGCAACTTGGTCTGAAATTTGTGTAATAACAAAACATGTTTTATCTTTGCAGATTTAGGAAGCAGAGATGGAGATAGAATCTGATCACCTAGGAAAATATCCTAGTCATAAAGAGACTATACTTACTTAGCCCAACTGAGGTCTGTAAATCGAGACTGCAAAGGTTTTACAGAGCAGTCATTGTTCAGAACAAGAGAAAAACAAGTGCTTTGGAATCAGATATACTTGAATAAAAATCAAGTGCTTCCACATACTAGTTATGAGATCTTATGAAGTCACCTTACTGCCCTGTACTTCAGGGTTCTCGATTATTAATGAGGATAATAGTTACTTGAAAGTATTGTTGCAAATTTTTTGTTAATTATGTACATAAAGAGTTGGCATAGTGTACTCACTGCATGTAGCACATTTACAAAATAGTAGTTATTGTTGTTTGGTTTAGTTATTGTATGATTAGTCCTAATATGTTCTTCTGGATACTGTTTTCAGATATGGTCATTATATTTAAAATATTTTTGATAATATGCATTTTAAGGTAGAAAACTGGAAGAGTGAGGTATCTGGGAACTAAGTTATATGTAAACTGGTTGAAGAATCTGGTAATGATGTCCATGAAAAAATAGAGACTAATGTCAGAAAGGCTCTCTGACTAAATCCTGTTTTATGTATCCTTCAGAAAAAAAAAAATAAGCCAATAAGTTATTTGTTGATTACTAGGGAGGGGAGAAAGGAGAAATTGCTAGGTAGGTAAGAGGCAAGTATTGATTAGGGTGAAGGGAAAAAGGCATTATACCAAAAGTAAGTGAGCAGTACAGTAACAGTAGGGAAAAGGATGACACAGAGAGGTGCACAAGAGGTACAGAAAACAAAGACAAACACCTTTACATACAGAGTACTGCATTATCAGTAATGACAAACATTAGTCTATGGGTGGATAAATAGATAGACAGGCTGAATGATCAGGTATGTCTAGGCAAACGGGAATGTACACAGGACCATATATAAGTTTGGCAGATGATATTTCTACATACCTATTTGTATGTGCTATAAGAATGTCCATATATATAATAGGGCTAATGGGGCAAAGTTATGTTAAGTTCTTAAGCACAGCCATCCAGTCTGAGGGAGTGAATTATTGGGCCGATTGTCTCAGGACCATGGTCACAGGGGACATCAGGCTCAATTGGCATAACATACTTGCAAAAAGGGCATGGAGTCAGCATCTTCTGACCTCCTCTAACTTCATAAGAGGGCGACAGAATCACCATCAGCAACCCAAGGCTCATTCCTATGAGGCTAGACATGCTGCCACCTGCCATCCTTTTTACCAATTATGATACCAACCATCCCTCCCTCAGCACTCACTACTTCTCTGCTGGGTTCAGTAATTTGTTGCAGTAGCCACACAGAACTCACAGACAGTGCTCACGATTATGGAGTTTATTAGGGAAGTAACAGGCTACAACTCAGGTTCAGGGATGTGCTTAGGCTACATACATAAAGGACATTCTCCCCTTTGCTATGCCTTCAGGCATGCCTCTGTGGCCCTTAGCCTCTCAGCCTGGCCTCTGCCCTGCTTGGGGAAGTGTTACAAAGCTCTTTTTAGCTCTGCTGATGGTTACACCTAGGTGCACCCCACTCTACCAGCAAGCCTCCTACCCAAAGGCACTCAGCTTGCTTGCTCCATGGGCTGGCAAGCCTGCCACTTGGTCTCATGCCTCTTAGTTTCACGGATACTGTGTCTTAGCTAGACGTCCCTGCCAAGGAGATCCAGCACAGGGATCTCAAGTCCAAAGATGCACTCCATTCCATTCCACCTCTGGCTATTCTCTCTCTCTCTCTCTCTCTCTCTCTCTATCTCTCTTTTAATTGTATTTTGGGTGATTTGGGTGAAAGTTTACAGAGCAAATTCACTTTCTATACAGCAGTTCACATGCACTTTGTCTTATGACATTGACTGTAATCTCCCACAATGCAACAACTCCCCTCCCACTTCCTCCCCATAGTTACCTCTTCCCTGTGTCCTGCCCTCCCATGCACTCCTGACCCCAAAGCTGTCTCCCTGTGCATACACAGCCCTTGTATTCTCGCATGATTGAACTCTCCAAGAGTGTATCTACCTAATGTAAATGTTCAGTTCATATGCCTGCCTTTTGTTTAGCTGGAAACCGCAGTAGTGGGTTCAATTCCCAACCTGAAGGGCAGCTAGGGCTCATAGTCTCAGGGCTTCTACCAGGCTCTATCAGATCAGCAAGCCTGCCCCTCCCCCCCATTTTTATGATTTTAAGTTTTGTTCCATATTGTTCTCCCACTCTACCCAGGATTCCTACATAGATCCCCCTCCAAGTGGTTCACAGTGGTAGCCAGGCACCATCTAGTTCTTATGATCTCATAG